GAGCATTTTGAGAGACTACAATATGATCGTGATCAAATTCTGAAATTAAACCTAATGAGAGTAACAGACACATCTCAAATAAGATGTGTCAATCATGGCGCTCCCCTACTCTAAGGTATTCACAAGAAGACGGATAAACAGTTTTTTATTCATCCTCCTCCTCCTCCTCCTCCTCTTCTTCTTCCTCCTCTTCTTCGTCTTCCTCTTCCACTTTTTTCCGGGCAACTTTAGCAGGACCCTTTGTGCCATCAAACTTTCCTTTAGACTTATAGTCAGCAACATCCTGGAAGGAACAGGGACACATTCTGAATGAGTGTCCGAGATCTCCTGCAGCTATTAAGCAAAATGTAGAAGCATGCAGCCCTCACCTCAGGTAAGAAATCAGGAGTTGCAAACAAGTGAATAAGACAGGAGATAAGGCTACTATTATATTCAAAGTATTTGTTTCCATATACACAATTGTTTCTTGGCCATTCAAATTCTAAAGTTAAAGTACACACAAGTGTCTTTTAAGTCATATTAACAGCCCTATCAATTTTCCTTATCAATTTTTTTGTAGTGCTGGGGATGAAGTCAAGGATCTTGCACTGATAGGCAAGCAATGTACTGCCGAGCTATATGCATCCCCAGCACTGCACTTAAAAACTGGGGCTGAAGATACAGCTCAGTGGTATACAGCATGATATGAAGCCCTAGATTTGATCCTCAGCACTGCAAAACATTATGCCCAAGACAAAAATCTGCCGTTAAGTATCAACACCAATACACACGGCTGATCTTGGGAGATGGGCTGCTGCATGCTGTGCCAAGTACTTGGCCCAGCAAAGCAGCCACATACCCCACAACCCACCAATACTATGGCAGATTCCAGTCCACCTTACCTTCTCGTATTTCTCCTTCAGCTTTGCAGCCTTCGTGATGTATGGCTGCTTTTCACTGTCACTTAAGTTATTCCACATCTCACCCAGCTTTTTTGCCACATCTCCAATGGAGATACCAGGATTTGTAGACTTGATCTTGGGGCGGAATTCTGAACAGAACAAGAAGAATCCAGACCTTGGAGGAGAGAAATATATAACTTAAGAGAAAGCACAAAAACATGAGCTTAGATTTAATTCCCATGTTCCTGAGCTCACATACCTCTCAGCACAAGTTCTCCCTGTCATACTACATTCAATGCTACAGAGCTATAGACTCTAGAATGGTTAAGATGCTTCCAAAATGTATGGTTCTTTATTACCGTTACTGGCTAAAGGGTAAAGAACGTATTTAAGACACTGGCTCCCAGAACTAGGGTGCATCCTTCTCAGTGGAAGGGTCAACAGGCAACTAGTGCACATGCACTTATACATGATACACACACAGAGAGAGCCAATAAACACATCAGTCCTAACTATGAACAATACTGGTATTGCATTTTAAAGCTGAAAAGTATAGAATGTTTTGCAGAGGCATCTCATTTCTTAACTAAAATATCTTTTAAAAAAAATATTCAAAGCAGAAAGAAAGCTCTTGTTATTTCAAGTGTATAGCCACTTACGGTGGTCTTTTGGGGGCATTAGGGTCCTTTTTCTTCTTGCCTCCCTTAGCTGGTCCATAGTCCTTCATTTCTCGATCATAGCGTACTTTATCTGCCTTTGCCATTTCATCAAATTTAGATTTCTCTTTCCCAGACATTGTCTGCAAAGAACAGGACCTGTTAAATTCCTTAATGCAGTGAGCACATACTTGCCCAACTGTTCTGTAATCAAATAAAGTGACATCTAAAGAACCACTTGCAAAAGAGAAATGGAGAATTTAAACCATTACAGAGCCTTAAGAAAGGTACACACGCAAAATTAAAGACACGCAAGATAATGTCTTAAGTTAGAAATAAAAGAGCCATACGGGGTGACTTTCTAAGAAAGTAACCCCAAAATATGAAGTACAACTAAGCCTACTATGAGGTTGCAAAAGAAAAATACCTTCCACCTCTCAGAGCACTTCTTGGAAAATTCTGCAAAATTGACAGGGACTTCTGGATTTTTCTTCTTATGTTCTTCTCTGCAAGTCTGCACAAAGAAGGCATAAGCAGACATCTTGCCCTTTGGTTTCTTGGGATCACCTTTAGCCATCCTGACTGTGATAGATGGAAAGAAGAACAAAAACAAGGAATGACAATGAGGAACAAAACTACAAGAAATACCAAAGGAAGAGCAAAATTAAGTTAGTTGTTAGAAAGCCCCCTTCACCCAACACCTGACATCACTGGCAAGAAGGCAGAGTAGGAAGGAAAGCAGCTTCACTGTCGCTTGTCATTTAACTTTTGACCAGCATGAAGCGCGCTGGTTTGCGAGTTACTTCTCCAGAGTTCTCCAAATGGAGCTGACCTAAGTGGGGAGCTCAGTGCTACATTACTGAAGCACTACGTTTTATAAACTACAACACAAAGTGGGAAGAGCACAGAGAGGAAACATTTGTAGGGAGTATATAACATAAGCTTGAAGAAAATGATTTAAAGCTGGCTGGCTATACATTTACGAAATATTGTCATCTCGCTAGTGAACAACATCAAAGGGGAAAAAAACGTAAATAGGGAACATTTGAAATGTCACTACGGGACAAGGCGTTTTGGTTTATGAAAATGGCTTTTAAAACACTGGTAATCTGGAAAGTGAGCAGATATCCCTTGTACTAGTAGTTCAAATCCATCACTATCTAAAGGGGGAGGAGATATCGAAAAGGCTAGTCTTGTCCATGTGTAATGCAGAATGCAGGTCCAGCCAGGAATACTTTCTCTAAAGTTTCCAAATAAAAATGCAGCTGTGGCGTGTCATCGTCCCTGTCCCACCCCCCAGCTTCCCGCCATCTTTTCCTTTTCCCACACCCAAGGTCATCATGTAAAAATAAAGCACTCCACTTGGCAGCGACCGCCCCCGGGGCTGCATTAGAGCCCCGCAGTGGCAATGCTGGTGGGGCGGGACCCGGAGCGGGGGAGCCCCATCCTGCAGCCCGACTCGCCCCGGTGCCCGGTCCCCCGGACACCCATAATTCACCTTCCATTTTGTCAAAAGCCTCCTGATGAAAGAAAGTGCCCCTCAAATCAGATGCTGCCACCCTCGGGGGGCGCGTGGAATCTGGGGCCGCGGCGGCAGGCGTCCGCGGGGGGTGTGGGGCCGGGCCGGCAGCAGCTACGGCAGTGGCTGTGGCGCCCGCCGCGCCTCCTTAGCCCAGCTCGCTAAAATGGCTGATCCGCGCGCGGCCGGCGCAGGCGGCGACGGCGGCGGCGGCGAACAAAGCGGCCCGGGCCCCGCCACCGCCGCCGCCACCCGCTGGCAGGCCCCCACCCCGCCCCGCCCCGCCGGGGTCGCCCGGGGCGCAGGGGCCACTGGCCGGACCTCCCCGCCCCCCGGCGAGGGGCGCACTCCTCGGGATAACAAAGGCGCCCGTGCAGCCATGACGCTCGGCCGCGCCGGGGCCCGCGGCGGCGCCCCCAGCCCTTCACGCCTCCCGCCCGGGGCCGCGGGCACCCGGGCGGAGGCCAGAACCCGCCACGAGCTCCCGCCGCTGTTCCGCCCGCCTCTCCGCCTCTCACTGGAGTCCCGCACCACGCCAGCCATGTTAACCCCAGCGGCGGCGCCCGGTGAGCAGGAGTCGAGCGGGGGGCAGCCGGCTCGAGCCCCCCCTCCCCCGGGCCGCCCTGCGCTCCGCGACGGCCATGTTAATGCAGAGCCCGCAGCGCAGCCCGCGGGCCCGCAGGGCGCCCGGCCAAGCCCTGGAGCGAAGTTTGCCGGCGCTGCAGCCCTCTGTGAGCACCGGCTGCCCGCTCCCCGCTGAGTCCCTCTCGGGCCGGGGCGTACCGCGTCCTCTTCACGCTGCCGCCGCCCGCCTGGCGCCGGGACGCGCGCCGCCAGTGCCCGCAACCCGCAGCCGCCCCTCAGCTCGCCCCGCCGCGCCACCGCAGCTGCAGGAACATCTGGCCTGGGAGCCCTGGCCCGTCGGCCGCCCCTGGGGGCGACTGCTGAGCTTGGTTCTGCGGAGGGTGCCAAGCCCCGAAAGCGGGGAGCTGGGGCAAAAGCATTTGAAAAGTTGAAACACCTGAATCGCGTCTTCCTTCCCGGCCACCTAGCAAGAGGGAAGGCGAAGGGGCGGGAAGGGCGCAGAAGGAGAGGCAGGGGGAAGCGGTGGCAGGCGCGCTCGCGGTGGCGCGGGCCGGAAAGTTGTGCGGGAGCTGCTGCTGCTGCTGCGGCGGCGGCGGCGGTGGCGGGCGCGGGCAGTGCGAAACGTACCTGTATTGTTCGCTAGTCTGGGCAGCGCAGGGCACGACGCGCGGCTCAGCGCTCCCCAGCCTCGCGCTAGCTGCCTCCACGAGAGCCGCCTGATTGGCCAGCGGGCTCCGCCGTTTAAAACAGCCTCCTCGCCTGGCCATTGGCTGCTGGCCTCATGCATATTAAGTAGGCGCCCGCGCCCATTGGGCGCGGCCGCTGGGATCATTCATTCAAACAGAACAACCCGCCGGCGCCGGCTGCGGAGGCGAAACAGAATAATAATAATATCTTCTCTTGCCCATCCCTCCCGCACCGTTTTCTCTGAACTGAGCTGCGATCTCGAAGGACTTTGCAGAGATGGCCCCTCGATTCCCAGAGGCCTCGGCCTCTGGCGTGGGAAGGCGAGGTCGAGCCCAGATGCCTTGCCCTCTGCTCCCGCCGCGCCGCGGCCTGGAGCCCCCGGTCCTGGCCCCTGGCCCTTAGTCCGCTCCCCTGCCTGGGGGAACCTCCCTGGGCCAACCTACGAGGACTGACGGTCCTCCACCTCTACCCAGTTCCGCGGCAACACAGCGGCAGGGGCCGCAGGGGCCTGGGTATAGTTCCCTCCTCCATGCCCCGCTGAGAGCCGCTGCATCTTTCTTAGAGATTAGGATGTTTCGGCCCTTGGATCCCGCTGCCCACTCGAAAGGAATCTGACTCCGCCCTTGCAGATCCTGTTCCACTTGGCTCTTTGCACTAATTGCCAGAAAGTCTGTATTTGCGCCTGCGATTTTGGAAACGGCAGACTGGAACACCAAAACGGAGTTTGATAAGAGCAGAACAATTTTGAGAAATTGTAGTTTCCTGAGCAGGGAGTTAAGAGTGAAACTGGCCCCTCTTCATGGCCTCTTTTCAGACAGGCTTTATCTCCTCTTTGGACACACCCCCTAGTGAAGAATCAAAGTGCTAGGAATGAAAGAATGAATGAGATTTGACTTGGTCTTCACTTTGTCACTACCTGATGTATATAGCCTTTAGCAAGGCACTCTTGGGGGGAATCAGTCAATGGTTTTCAAAGTGTGAGATGACTAATGTCACTTCTATAATGGATGTTTGGAAATTTGTGTAGATTTTTGGTTACCAAGAAGACTGTCTCACAGCAGCTCAGGAGGCTGAAACAGGAGGATCACAACTTCAAAGCCAGCCTCAGCAACTAGGAGGCCCTAAGCAAGTCAGTGAGAGCCTGACTCTAAATAAAATACAAAATAGGGCTGGAGATGTGACTCAGTGACTGAGTGATCCTGAGTTCAATCCCCAGTAAAACCCCCCAAAAAAGAAGACTGGCAAGTGTTGCTGGAATTCAATAAGAAAAAGGGATTTTCAGGATGTTAAATGTCCTACACTGAGCAGGGCCATCACTAAGTGTTTCACTCCAAATACCAATATCAACCCTGTTTGAAAAACACCTAAGAGCTCTTGTCTCTTTGAGATAGCACAAACTTCCTAGAAAGGATGAAAAAGGAAGGGTGAGAAAAATTAAAACATTTTAAGGATTGAAATTTGGAGAAAACAATACAAAGGAGGAAACATGAGTTCATCTCCCCCATGTGACGTTCCCTTTCCAAAGGCCAAGAGATCCAGCTATTTTTGATTCACATAATTGGAAAGGAGACTCACTATAAGATTCATTTTTCAGATGTTTTCCAAAGAATGTGACTGAGTTTGAAGTGTGCAAAGGAGCTAGCCTCACACAGTACCTGTCTCCCCAGCCCTTGCCAAGACATCCTCTGAGCCCTTAAAGCTGGAACACCTAAGCATCCAATCCAGACCAAAAGACAATAATAGTGCAGCTTTTGACAAGAGCTGACAGGTATCAAGCCACTTCCCAAATCTCCAGTCTACAGACTATCAGGAGTTCAGATCTTAGGGCACCTCATCTGACTCTCAGCCCCATTAGAACTCGCTGAATGGTTGCTTACCTTCTTGACTACCTCCAATTATAGAGAGCTTACCACCTCCCTTCTTGGATGTCCCTTCCATCTCTAACCATCTCTGAACCTTGGAGATCGCCATCCCACACATAATCCAATCCCTCACCCTTCAGAGAGTCATGGCAGGCTGGGACTTTTCTCCAGGCAGACAGTCCCAGCTTCTATAACCAAATTCTCAGGACCCAACCTGCCCAGGCTACAGCTGTCTTCTTTTCCTGAGTCCCCCATCTCTGCCTAGCCCAGAGAACAGTCTCCCCATTGATCTGACCTCCCTTCTGCCAGAGCACATTGACCTCTCAAGGTTGTTGAGCCTTCCTAGGCCAGATATTTGGGCTGAAGTCTTAGTACAGGGTCTCTCGGTGGGCCAGCTGTTGCCCTGCATCCTAGCCATACTAGGTAGCTAGCAACACTTAGCATTAGCAGAGACAGCAGCTTGAAGGCAAACCAGAAAGATAAGAGCATCTCCAAATTACCCAGACCCCTGCTTCCCCCCCCCCCCCCCCCCCCCCCCCCCCCCCCCCCCCCCCCCCCCCCCCCCCCCCCTCTTTCTGTACACATACTTCTAAAGTGAAAAGGGTTGCTCCTACTCTTCGAGGGAGGTGTTTCCATCTCTGCTCTAGAGAAAGCTCCTCCTTATAGGAGGAAATGAAGCACTTGGTCTGAAGCTTCCAACTGTGGTTGCAATGATCAGAACCTTAGGTGACTATGACATAGCTTAGAGTGTTAGAGATCTGAAGGTGCCATGGTTCCCTGCTTCTACCCCCTCCCCAACAAACACATGTCTTCTTCATTTCCAACCTTGCTGTTTTTTCCAACTCTTCCCTGAGTCCCCATTTAGAGTCCTTAACAGCTCGGTTTACTTCTATGTGGCCTAGGTGATTCCTACCTCACCAAATCTCTCATAATTTAATTCCATGTACATGTATTGAATGTCTTTTAATGAATAACAGAAAGGAGATGGTATGCAAGGGTAGGGCTGGAAGGGACAAGGCTGTGACCACTTGGGCTGTGTTGATGACTTCCTGGTACACTCTTTGACATGTTACCTCACCCCTTCCAGCCTCAGCATCCTTTGTCAAACCAATTCAACCTATCTTCTCCACTTAGAGCATTTCTCAAGTCTTATGGTAAGGGAGGCTGTGAGTGAGGGTGGTCTGGTTGTCACTAGTCTAAAGCTGCCCAGGGCAGGGCTAACAATCAGTCTGGAAGACAAGAAAGTAACATAAAGTGAGAGGTGTCTGGGCCCAGCCTGGGCTTAGGGACCCCAAGGCAGGTCGCCACCTCTGTGCAGCAGAGAAGTCGATTGGTATGTACTGTCTTGGGGGTAACTTACACAGGAGCCCAGACCAGTTAAGCAACTGATGGCGTGAAGGAGGGTGCTTTAGGCCTCTGCCCTGGCCTCTGGAGAAAGCACTTTAACCCTGTCACTCAACTCTGAGGCCCAGTACCAAGCAAAGCCTATCCACAAAGGAGAACCTCAAACCAGAATCCCTTAAGCTGCTCAGCTTCCTAGAGAAGTTATTAAAACATTGAAAGTAAATAAGAAATAGGACGAAGTGTGGCAAATGTTATTTAAAGAGGTTTTCAGTTCCTGTCAGTTGAAGCCCCCCAAAAGATTAAGAGAAATTCTTATCATTCAACAAAGGTGAATCCCTGATCCCCTGATGCAACCTTCTCCCGCCTCTATGCACACGCTTCTAAGTCCTCACTTGGGTACCCAGCACTTAAAGGAGACTTTCCAGAAACCAAGCCAGGCCAACTCCTGTTTAATAATCAATGTAGGGCTGAGTATGTGGCTCAGCCTGGCATGCTCAATGCCCTAGATTCAATCCCAGCAACATATACATTCACACACACACACACACACACACACACACACACCAACAATCAGTGGAAGTGTAGGGGGTGGGGCAGGGGTGTATTGGTATGGGATTCTTGAATCATTTAAAATAGCACCCTTGAGGGGCTGGGGCTGTACTCAGCAGTAGAGTGCTTGCCTAGCATGTGTGAGGCACTGGTTCAATCCTGAGCATCACATAAAAATAAACAAAATAAAGGCATTCTGTCCATCTACAACTACAATAAATAAATAAATAGCACCCTTGAGAAGAGGTTTCCAGTTTCCAACAGTGGCCCTAGATAGGTCCACAGGAAACCTGGTAGACGGGGCAGGCCTGCACCTCCTTTCCCACCACACCCCACTGTACAGATTCCTCAGGCATCCTGAGACTCCATGGCCTAGAGCCTTGATTGAGCCTTGATTCCTGATCAAGACTTGAGCACTGGGGTCTGAATATGATGCTGGTCTGCACAGAGGTGGCTGGGCCCTCACAGAGGCAGCTGGGGGCAGCTCCTTCCCACAGCATTGGTCTTGCCCTGGGATAGGATGAGCTACCTCTCTCAGTACCTATTCAAAAAAGAGTTTGGAAGCCAGGGTCATTTAGCCTGACACAGGCCTATAAGTACCACACAAGGGCTCTTCTTAGGTTGCTTTCAGGCAGACTGAAAAGCAGGAAGTGGGTGAGCTCAGGAAGGATTGCCTGCATTTTACCATTCACACCCAGGTAGGTAGGAATAAAATCCTAATCTACAAAAGCTCCAGGGCCAATGAAACTGGGCAGACCAGACCTTCAGGGAAGTTGGGGGGGGTGGAAGAGAAGTGCCCTTGTCCCTGCCAGACACCATGTCCTGGGAGAGTTCAAGGACCCTCCCTTGGGGAAAGAGAAGCAAGAGCCCTGCTCTGAAAAACCTTGCCATCTTCACCATGTTGCTGGGTAATCAACCCAGTGGAGGCTACCTAACCCTCAACCCCCATCCCATCCAGAGAATGCATACTTACAGTAGGTCTGCCACCTTGCGCTGAGTTTTGGAGTGGTGGCCCTTCTGTGTCCAGGGCTCTGACTCACTGAGCAGCTAATGAGCCAGCATCTCCCTCTTAGGGAACAGGTACAAGCTGTCTATCTTTACCTGAACGAAAGGGATTCCTGCAGTGTGGGTGGGGGGCTGAGGACAGGCCAGTCTCTATGTGGGTTTGGAG